CAGATTTTAAATGAGATAACAATAAAGGGAAATTCACACAAGTAGGCTATGGTGTATCTGAAGACCAAGAAAGGGAGATTAGACACAGGAAGAGTTGATGGGGGAATGGGGGAGGTTAGCGACATTTAATGGGGGAAATCAATTTACTTTATGTTTCTTGAACCTCAAAACTAAACCATATTAATAGTTACAGATTTTCTAAGGGCCTTAAGTTTAGAGAGGAAACATACAGGACATGATGAGAGTTAACAACAGAAGGTTCTCCTAAGAAGACACACATTCTCCACATAGTAATAAGCACGGGGCATATGGGCCGACCTCTGGGAAAGGAGAGGAAATCTGTAGACATTCTAGGTTTAATAGTATCACAGAGAAAAGCATGTTGTAGTCCTAACCAAATGGACTTGGGAATGCATTTTCACGAGAAAATATCTTTGTAGATAAAATCAAGTTGATGAAGTCATAGTGTAGGTCTTCATCCCATGCTACTGGTGGCTTTGATAGAAGAGTGGGGTACAGAAGGAGGAACAGAGAGAGGAACGTGTCATGTGCAGATGGCGAGAGAGACAGAGGGAAGACAGGCATGTGAAGATGGGGCAGAGATTAAAATTCTGCCTCTTAAAGTCACGATACACTAGGATCAACAGAAGCTGGGAATGACAAGGAAGGTTTTGTGGAGAACGTGTGGCCTTGGTGAGACTTGTTTCACACTCTTATGCCCTATAACTCACAGTGACCCTATAGGACAGGGCAGAACTGCCGCCTGTGAGTTTCCAAGTCTGTGAGTCTTTCTGGGAGTAGACTGAGTCAGTCTCAAAGGGGTAGTCAGCTGTCGTGGCCCAGGTCACAGCCTTTCAATCCTATGAGACAATTCTACATTGTCCTGTGAGGTTCCCATGAGCCAGCACTGGCTTGTTAGCAATGGGGTTCCCCTCCAGAATGGCAAAACGATGCATGTCTGTTGTTATCAGCCACCCAGGTTGCGGTATGTTTGGCTTGGCAGCTCTGGAAAACTAAGGCAGCCAGGAAGGGAGTGTCAGGCTGGGGGAGCATCGTCTGACTTTGGCTGTGCAGGCCTGAGGATGGAAGAACTTGCAGGTTCTGTTGCGGCGACTTAACGGGGGCCCTGGGTGGTCTGAGTGAAGCCCGAGGGCAGCAGAGAGGTAAGGCTCACTTCAGCAGAAGGGAGCCGTCCAATCCAACGTTCCCCCGGCAGAGAGCAGAAGCGTGTGTCAGACAGGAGGAAGTAGAGTGTCCTTTCCCTCCCTTCCACGGGCAGATGCAGAGATTAACGACACGCTGCTCCACTGAGCGCATGTCGACATCAGTGGCTGCTTTGGGAGAGCTCCCCGAGCAAAGAGAGGAGGGGCCTGCTGGTCAATGAGGAAATGAATGATACCAGTACAGTGCTTGGCACAGTTCCATGTCATGAGCCTGCAGGATTTCGGCAAACTCCAAATGAGACTGTGAATTGGCTCAGCTCCAGGGCTTCTTAGACACAATTTACATGTAGACATTTCCCTCCATCTTAAATGCACATATCCCAGGGACTCACTCTTGTATGCTCTCTATAGGAGAGCTAGCATCCTCGACTCAGGACTCCCTGCCTGGATGATGCCTACAACTCACACAAACCATGCTAACCAGAGGGTTGGGCATTGGAGCATATTCATCGGCCTCGCCGAACAAAGTCCTGGTATCTATGTCTGAAAAATCAGCCATTGAAAGCCCTCTGGAGCACAGGTGTACTCTGACAGAAATGAGGACTCTGGGAGTTGATGTCAAGGCAACTGCCTTGTCTGCGCAGAAAGCACCTAGTTCCTTTTGGCTCTCCCAAAGTTAAAGGCTGGAGACACGGTGGCTCATAAGCAGCAGAAAAAACTTCAGGAGGGTTTCCCAGTGTCAGACTCAACATTGGCAGCAGCCTCTTTCTCTGACCTGCATGATCATATTGAAGCTACAGGAAAGAGAAAACATTTCAGTCCTACTGCGAGTGCTCAGTCCCCTTGCCGCAGCAGTGGCCCTCACATCTGTGATTTCCCTCGCCTCCTGTTGGCCCAAGGCTGCTGGCTCCGAATCACATTTCAACTACCTGCAGGGCGATTCTAGACCCATGTCACACCAGCTGGACTAAATAATATGAATTCATTTGATAAGGATTTTCAGGAGACAAGGAATGCATTCCAAGCAATTCAGCAAATGTGTGACAGTTTTTCCTCAGAGAGTCACACTCTGTTAATTTAACTCCATTTAATTTATCAGATACCAGGCAGGAGGCCCGAGAAAAACATCCAAATGATTCATTTAGAAGAGATTTATGCACTTTTGGAAACATAAGAAATACTTACCCCAACCTCTGGTGGGGGGTCTTTCTGTGCCGGTAGGACACTGGTTCGGAGCTAAGGAGAAAAACAAAACATTTTCCATATGACTTTGGAGTAGAAACCAGGAAGAGGCTTCATGCAGGTGCTGGGTTTTAATTTCCTTCATCTGTTGTCTATTCAGACTCTGTGGTTAATCATTAATGAGGCTAGCTGCATGAAACACCTGCTGCAGGCCCAATGACGCTGCCTTGCTGCTCTTTCACAGTTTGGAAACCTCTTGATTTTCCTAAGGAGACAGAGCTGCAGGGATTCTCACCCCCCCCTCCTCCCCCACAGATATGCCTTGTGGTCAAGTACAAGGATACCCAGGCTGGGGCGAATCACGCGTTAATCTCCTGGAAAGCAAGCTCCATTTAACATTCAAGGGAAAGGATGGGAGTCCACATAAAGAGAGAACCTCAGTACATTTCCCCCCCTCTGAATAAGCATCCGAACCTATACTTGAATATTCCCACTGGAAAATTCTGGGATCAAATCCTCTGAATTGTGAATTCTCCTGAATTTATTGGAAAGACTAATTTCAAGTAGGAGAAAAGCAAGGGTTTCTGTCCCACAATTAGATACTTGGAGAAGTTTTTCCTTGGCCTAAAAATGGTTGCAAGTAAAACAGCAACGCCTTGCACAGTAAGTAGCCACATACCGTCGAGGGAACAATGACCCACAGTCCTGGCTGTCTTGCAGAGCCACTTGGTAACCTTTTCAAACCTGGGTGCTCCCTCCCCAGAGAGTGAGTCTAAAGTACAGTTACTGAGTCTGTGGTTCTCTCTTGAAGAAAACATTTTCCAAAAT